AAAAAAAAATAACTAGAAAACTATAGGTGGATTAAACTATGTAAATGAAAAAAAAATCGTTAAAAATAGAATAGTCAGGGTTTGTAAAAATCATATCTCTGCATATCGATTAATACACTGAGAAAAAAATTCTGTTGAATTAACAGCATTAGTCTAATTGGAAATAATTTTGTTAATTCACATTATTAATGAAACAAAGATTTTGATTATTAAAACAAGAGCATGACTGTTTCATATAGAATAATATACGCAAGGCATAACTTTATTTTATTTTAAAATTTAATGAAGCAAAAGATATATCAACAAATCAGATAATAGATGGTATATTTGATCGACAGAATTTTCTTCTTCTTTTTCTTCCGATTTCTTGTCCGATTTCTTATATTTCGACATTATGATTTTTCGAGACATTGACTTATTTCTAAGATTTCGGGATTATGAATTTTCGGGACATTGTCACACTTTTTAAATTTCGGGATTGTAACTTTTTGGGACATTGTCATATATCTTAAATTTCGGGTATTATGGCTCTTTGGGATACAAGTTTTTAGATTTCGGCACATTTTTTTCGGGATTTTGCATGTCCACCTGTCTTGTTAATTTTTATATATTCGATTATTAGCATCACTTTCTTTGCTGATGAAAACTCTGTGTAGCGAAACATTCGTAGCAAAATTTTTAAATCTTATTTATGTTATGTTAACTCGTGCTTTCGATATACGTTATCAATAAATATTTTGATTATTTTAAACGTTACTTATTTTTGTTTGTTCGTCGACTTTCTACATACTTATTATTTAATTTGAACGGATTGTTTTGTTTTTATTTTTTTGTTTTGTTTTGTTTTTTCGTGTTTGATTGGAACAATTACATAACACTATATAATAATGATACATATAATTATCTTTTATTTATTCTTTATAGAAAAAGAGTTATTTTTCTGTATATTTATTTTATATATTTATTACTGAATATTCGATACACAATCTACAATAAATTTGCATTTCTTTAAATATAATATATTACATTTTTATTATGATCCGTAACATTGGATACTTTGATTGAATTTAATGATTTCTGAAATAACCATCTGCATTGTCTTGTTGACATAGATAACAAACATTTAATTCAGCCATGTTCTGAGTATTTTGTTTCCCTTCCGAAAATGTTTTCTTAATCTATAATGTTATAAAATATCTTTTATTATACTACTTATGCACTTTTATTATATTACTTATACACAAATTTTACATTTTTATATGTAATTAATTTATTTATTAGTTAATTTTTATTTACTATTTCCATATTTCTTCTTATTATTTTCTAACTTTTTATATATTTGAATTTTATGTCTTTTATAACAAAGGTTTCTTATATCATTGAAACGTCGTATTGATAGTGTTCTTATATTTATTTTGCATTTGAAAAAGTCCAAAGATTTTCGTGGTGATTCATGTTTTCCACGTATTATATATTTCATATCATGAATAATAAAATTATTGTTTCTATTTCCATCGCACTGTATTTTGTTCTATGAATAAAAATGTTATATTATTCCAATAATATGTCTTTATAATTCAATTCAAAATTAAGATATATTAAAATTATACTCATTGTTCTCGTATTATTATTCCTGCCTATATTATTGAAACAATCGGTCAAGATTTCAGATGTGTGCCTGAAGAAGTTACAATTTTTGATTTGACATATACTTTTTTTCTAGATTGAACTGTGTTATGTTTCTCTTCAAAAAAATATAGACAGAATAAATAATTTTGACAGAAATAAAATGGAAATATCATAATTTCATAAATGACCAAATTAGATTTTTAATAAAAAAAAGATATGCTTTGAGAATTTGTAAAATATAAAAAATTATTTGCAACCGTTGAAAATTTATTTACCGCAAAATTTATTTATCTCAATTACAAACTTTACAGTAATAATATCATTAATATCATTCTTTTACTTTAATAAAATGTTCATAATGTTAATATATTTGTAATATGAATCTATGCAATAATGATTTTTATTGTAATCCGCATTTATTCTTTCTAGAGATAATAACCCTATATTTATTTCTATTTGCCTTGTAGATGAATTCCACTGACTATAACGGGGCTGGAATTCACATTCATATTTTGTTAAAAGAAGCTGTATGTGTCGAAGCTAATTTCATTATAAAATGCTATTCACGGCTAATCCAACATACATCTGCATTTTCTAGACATCCTAGATATTTATGTTTACATCTACTTTATTTCACGATCATAGAAGTTTATAAATTCGAATTACCGATGAATTCACAGTCGCGTTTATCGTGGATTCTGTGATTGCAACTTACAGTTGTTGCGATCTACGATGGCGGTAGCGCAGTAGTATAAGTACGTCTCGCAATATGATAAATCTAGCGGTTGTAACACGCGCACGATTATGGATCCGTACGCCAATGAATTATCGAATCGGCGATTAAGCTCGACTTTTTGGATCGTTAATTTCGAGAGGAAACCAATGGAGACCGCGTAATAATCAAAGCGTCGTATTTCTCGGCGGCTAAGAAAAAAGAAACGAGTGAAGAGAGAAACGGAGAGAAAGAGAGAGTGCGTATGTGAAAGAGAGAGAGAGAAAGAGAAAAAGAATAAGCGAGTCCGTATCTTATGAGCGGACCCGACGAGTGACACCGTAAGTACCGTTAATCCTATTAAAGGAGGACTACTAGCTTCTCGCGGGCGCAGCTCCGGTAGCCGTCGGAAACCGATACTCCCCACATCGGAGGTAATCGCGTTCGGGGTCCTGAGAAAGCGCCTGTTACTTTTCTAATCCACCTGTAGTCTCGGGATCTCCGATATGAGAGCCCGAGGTCCAACCCGTTCTCGGCGCTCCGAACGCGCGCATCTACGACCTCCTTCGCGCGCGATCGCAGAGATCACGCTCGATCGAGTCGATTGGGTCTCCCCGTATAATTAAGAGAAAAAAAATCATAACCCCCGATTAGATTGGAATTCTGAGATATTTTCCGAGACGTAACGCGAAGCCGGACCGGAGCGGCGTCGCCGTCGTGTACGTTTCATTTCGCGTTTCGGATCGAGAGACGCGGAGGGAAGATCGTCTGTCGGGATCCGGGGAATTTAGAGAGACACGCGTTAGATCTTCGCACGATAACGCGCACCGCCTGTGCGATCTCGACACGATAATCTCGACTGAATTCTCATCGATTGAGATTTGACTCGGGAATGAGTTGCACTTACGAGATACGCAACGCGGAATGTATCTGTGGAAAGGAAATCTGTGTTCGAGATCAATCATGAGCAAGTTAATTTTCCACGTAGATACTCCCGCAAGATTAGCGTTTTAACGAGATATCGTGAGATAATATTGATATTTCAAATAATCTTCATTCAAAGGAAAAAAAAATATATATATATATATAAAACATTAAATATTTATATATTTGTTGTAGTGAAGAAAGCATATTTCGATGTTGATAAAACGTATTTAATAAAACGTAAATGTCATAAGGTTGATCTAAATGTATTGCCAATAAATTAGCGGAAAAATCAATCTCTCTTCGGTCAGTTACCGTGACTTTGATCGCTGTAAGCACTTTACGGGTTACTCTCTTGAGGAGCTTAGTAATGGACATGTAAGATTGAACTGGCAGACTTGCGCGCATGTACATACACACGTCGGGTTGAACCGCGAAAAATGGCACGAGCCTAGTTACATGTCGATCAATCATGGGGCAGCTCTCGGTTGCGAAATTAAACTCTCGGAACATGCGCCGAGGCGAGGCGAGGCGAGCGCGTACGTGACCCTCGTAAAATTCGAACAATCGGTCGTATTATCTCTTGTGTGCGCGCGCTATTACACCCGACATAGTCAACTTTCGTGGACCGAATTAGCGGAACGACGGAGAAACAAACGAGCGTTCGTTTTTCAAGACGGGATCGCCGACGGGCTAACCGAGAAAAATCCTCTCTGTGCTTTCTATCCGCGCGAATTATGCATGCGGCCCAGAATCGTAAAAGCATGCGCCATTGCGATTGGCCCAATATCACCATAAAGCGGCGTTTGACAACAATATAATGAATGAAACATCTAAACGATCTGATGTAATAATAATAACGACGTAATGGCGATTATACGCATCGTGCCATCTGGCAATGGGATAATTACACACAACGAAGTTGATGAAACAACGAGCATTTTGTCGTTATCATAACGCGGTTGAAACGCGAAACATGGGCAATTAACACAATGTAACTAATAAGTAATTACAATATATATATATATATATATATATATATATATATATATATTGTAAATTAGTGATTACCGTGTTTAGGATACCATTGCATTGGCTATCGCAACTTTGGAAAATTATGAAGCTAAATTGTTTTCAGACAGACAGATTCAATTATCTAAAGTAAGTTCCACTGTCGAACAATCAATTAGCGCCACGCGCGTTGGCAATGCGTTTTTCCGTGTCTCTTGTCGATCGAAATTTCTCGCGACGGCCGCTGCTCGATGTTGACCGGCGGACGCGGTTGCGCCGCCTTTAGGTAGTAATTATCGTAGCAATTAAGTGTTTCAGGTGAACCCGAGCGACGTGTTTTACTGCAGCTTCGACCGGTATTTTTCGTCGATATTCCCGGGGCACCGGCCGTCGTATATCACCCGCCATTGGCCGGTGTTGAAACACGTAATTAAGAACTCGCGCGAATATGGTGGCCTGCCACCATACGTTGCAAACTTGTTAGACGGTATTCCACGCTATTGTGCGTCACGTAAGCAGCTATACAATGGGCACTGTTCATGTGTGCTGGTTCGTTATACGCGGCCCGTTACGCTAATAACGTTTTAATATAAAAATGATACCGAGATTAGAACGCACAATCACATCTTGTTCGATTTTAATTCTTTCTCTAACAGTAAAATCAAAAAAATTAATCATATTTGCATCAATGCGAATGTCTGACGCTTATTACTTATGATATACTTTTTTATATAATTTAAAAAAAAATGACTAAATGAAACAAAGATGTATTCGGAGTTTTCTTTCCAGAATAAGAATTGTAAATGGTTCATGATGGAGAGATAAATTGTTATTAAATAAAAAAAAACAAATAAATAAATAGGGAAATCGTTATTAAATATTTTGTTAGTTTTTTATATACAAATTAAAGAGGTATATGTACATGGCCTGTAATTAATTATGTAATTCGTTGCGGTAATCTTCGATATGGCGTAACATGGAAAACGATGTGAAACGCTCGTCTGCTATCGACACTGACGAATTAAATTCACCCCAAGGAACATGCACATGTTTCCCGCCGCGTGGGAGTATTATATCAAAAAATATTAGATGTGTGTTAAGAATGCTATATTATGCGACCCCATATACGTAGGCGAAATACGATCCTCATTGTTGGCCCCACGTCAGGTGGAAATTTTCACGTGAGAATAGCGTGAGAGGAATGCTCATTTTTATTGCGAAGATGCCGCGCAAGTTATCGAGGGGAATTGATTAACTTTCTCAAATGAGATTCTATCTATTATGTCCGAACTGTGTGTACAAAGCTTCGAAGCGAGTAAAATCCATTGTTCCGCTATGATTCTGCGGTTTCGGAACATAGAATATTGCACTTTGGACAGTATTATAAGTGTGATGAGTTTATTTATGATATAAGTATTTAAATTGTGTGATTTTACTTCATCGCACTTATGATAAAAATTGAATCCTCTCTATTTTGACATTTGCAACGTTACAAAAGTGCACGTTTCGCACGTTTTTATGTTAATTGGAATGGTACCTCATGGGCTTTAATGGCTATATAGTTGGCGATATCACCTGTTAACGCATTCGTTTACGATAATTTACTCTTAAACTATATACTTCACACGTACTTCAACGTTGCAATAACTCGTGTGTATCGCCTTACACGTGTTATTTAACACGTTGCGCGGATAATCGCAGAATCTTCTCGTTAAATATCTCATTCAATCACCTCGTTACTTATCGCTCCTTCGACGATGAAGGAAGTAATGGAAAGCGAGGATGTGAGAGGCACTGTTTCGCAGATGGGATCCTTTCGCGTAGCCCGCGCGCGAACCGCGATTTCCGCATCGCGGGGCTATCAATCATCGCCCATCGCGGAAAAGGCCCCGACGCGCGATTCTTAACTACTGATTGGCCCCGGAATCGTTCACGCGTCATTAGCGCATCGCGGCTGTCCGCTCTAATTAATTGTCCTACGTCAAGATCCCATCGCGCAGATTTCTATTCGGCACGGCGCGCCGTGAGGTATCCGTAGGTGGAACTTTCTGACATTTCGCTCTGGACTTCCTATGATCATTCGCGCGAAAGTTACAGCATCTTATGCGGAAGATGAAGTCGATATTCGACTTTCCCGACACGATATTTTCATCGTTTATAGGTTAATTATCGCGCGCGATTCCAAATATAATTATTTGCGTTTTTGAGAAAATATATAATTAATTTCATATTAATATCTTCGGGGGAATCACGTTATTGGGAAGTAGAAAGTTTGTTGTACAAGTTAAGTGGCACAAAATTCCACGGTTGTGGAATTATTAAGTGCGACTAGTTCCATGTGTCCGCATTATCGTATTAAAGTAGAGCCTCGACATCCGGCAGTAACAAGTTAAATTAGCCATTAATATCAATTACGTTCGTTGTAATTCGTGGAAACTACCTTATCTCCCACATAATTGCGTTCTCGTTCACTATTCACCTTTATTAGAGGACTAGCCTCGCTTAATTTCGTCCAATCAAACGATACGGGTCTACCTAGATGGTTATCTGCTCGGCTCCCTCGCCGAATTTAGCTGTCTCTAGAGTCCAGAATGTCGTGACTACACCTGGGCCCATGCGGGTTCCGTCAAAGACGAATTAATTCGTATTTCGATATCAGCCAGCAGGTATGCAGGCAACATCATGCTGGAATTTCTGTTCTTATTCCCGCGAGATCTTTTCGACGGATGATTCACTCGTCTTTATGGATTTATGTTAATTTTTAAACTTTTTAATAACTGAATTAAACCTAATATATAATTTTAATCATTGAATAAAATAAATTCAATAAAAATTATTAAACTTTTTCAAAATAAATTAAATAGGCTTATAATAAAATATTTAATTATATCATAATAACCTACGTTAAAATTTTTTGTGATAATTGAGATGAAAGAATCGTTCGTCACACGATCTTTCCCATGATGATAATGCTTGTGGATCGGTTTGGTCCAAACTTGTCACCCTTCCAATCACCGTTGGGGTGGAAACATCGAAAAGTGGCGGGGAGGTAAAAGGGAACGCGTGCAATATGTCTCGTGCCAATATTATCAGCTCCCTTTGCGTTACAGGGAACCGTAACGACCGAACGAAACGATGCAGCACCAGTCCCACGCTCGTAAGGTCACGTGCCACTTCCAGGACCTGCATAGTGCACCGGTCCGTGTGATTCTATGAAAAGTACTTTCCATCGCGAATGTCATCCCCTATACTTTAAAAGATTTATTTCACCCTTCGTTTGTAGTTTGCTCGTATCCATCTTGTTACAAACGACAGCGTTGATTACTCAGTTAATTTTGGTTAAAGAACAGAATATATATATATAAATAAATAATAATGTAATGTTTAATATAATATATAATCAGTGTTTTATATATATTAAGATAATAAGAATCATTTTTAATAAAAGAAGAAAATAAAAGAAAATTTACGAAATATTTGAAAAATTGTTTTTGGTATATTGCTTAACTATTAAATATTGAATTAAATTCATATTGGGAAATGATCGTAATAAAATAATACGCGTTTATAATAATCCCAATTGCGCGATCCATTTGGTTACATTGCTTTCTCCGATCAAACGAGCCGCGCATTAATACGTATAATACGCGGGCTGATAGAATTCCAGTCGGTGCGTCGGAAGAATTGCATGGAACGATCGCACAATGGTGACTTCCGGCGTGAGATCGTCGTATATACGCGAGTCGCCGAGTGAATTGTAGTTAATGCATCAGCCCCCTGTACGGATCGTTCGTTCGGCCGTAGGTCAAGGGGGTGCCGAGGGCTGGTGCGGAACAACCAGTTTCCGATTGGTACGAGTGGCCGATCCCGCTCCCTCTCACTCTCTTTCTCTCTCGTTCTCTCTCCTCCATGCCTCTCTTTCCGTCGAGGCGAATATCTCGTGGATATTCGTACGAGAGGCAAGTCGTCATGTGATTCACAGCCGGATATGCGTCATGGAGGATTTCTAGACGATTGAGCTAAGTGCACGGTGCCGATCGACGATGTCGGGCGCAGGTCGGGCCCTTCTATGTGGCGGATTTATCTCGCGCCATTAGCTACAGCGAACATGCAGTTACGTTGCGTCGACTGTGCCGTCACCGTCAGTAGTTTCTAAATAGGTCTGCCAAGTATTAATATGCCAATACATTGCCAATCCTCCTTCTTTCTTCTTTGTTTAAATAAATACAATTTAGATAATATTTTAATACTTTTACATATACATTATCATTATAAGAGATCGCATACTTTAAAATATTAATAATTTTTCTGCTAGGTATTAAATTTTATATAAGTTTTCAGATTTTATTGAGATTTTATTTTATTAAAACATTTAAACATATTTATCAGAGTAAATGTATTTTTGACATAAAATGATGTATCATTTTTATCCGCATATGTTGCACACTTTCTGTTTCGACTATCGTGATTAATCGAGTTCTGTGTATGGAGGTGCAGGTCCCCGAGGGTCTGATTAGCGTTCAATTTCAAACGGTAACATCGTCGTCGGACATATGCACCCTGTTGTGAATTGTACGTCTATAAATGCAATAACGAGCACAGAATCCGCGGTTGCATGTGGGAAAGATATACACGTTCTCGTCCCCGTTGGGGATCGAAACCGAGGCGGTTTGACTGCCAAGCTTTATTAGTTAGCAGATAGCTCGAGTTACGAGGGGACTCTCCTTGTCTTTCTCAAATAGCTGAGGGCTAACATCAAGCGAATGGCTTGAAGAAGGGATCGTACGCGCGCGCGCGCACTATGAAACGGGAGGACGGATGATGAGTCAAGGGAGAACCTGTTTTCACCCTTTACTCTGACGAGCGGGGGAGTTTAATTGGGTCTCTAATTTCCTGGTCAGACTGCTCGTCATGCGCCGGCACGAGTAAATTAAGCGGTTCATGCTTATATAATGTAGATCATTTTTAATGAGATTGAACCACTTTAAAACTTAAAACCACTTTAAAACGAAACGATGTAATGATAATAATTAAAAACAATTGTTTATCGAATTATTGAAAAGAAATGTAAGTAATATTCGCTTTAATTTTCGTAACAGTTTCATAATTTTTAATAATCCTTTTAACTTTATTTTGCATTTTTACTTAACGATTTTCGTTATTTGACGATAGAAAACATATTTTTCAGCATTTCTTATTTGTAAACTAATATTTTATATTCTCGCTTAAATTTCTCACGTATCTCATTTTCCGATTTTCGCAGCAACTTTTTGTGAATCGCAAAATCACGCTTGAATCATTCGCATGGCTATCAACATGAAACATATACCGGATGAATGTCTGCCTACACGTGCATGGAGCGACGGACGTACGATCCATTTCCGCGATTCTCCCTTCTGTGGTCCTGTCGAGATAAAAGCAAACAATAACGTCGAAATAGAGTTCGCAAAGGGATAGAGCATCTCTCATTCGCTATCTGCCGCCCTTCATCTTCGTCATACGCGATCGGGATTGAATTATATAAATCCAGCTACTTCTGGTCACGTGTCGACACGCACGTGGTTCGGTAAACTATGACCTAGCAAACAATAGGCAGACGATAAGGCAAAATGCGACCATTGTCCAAACCAGAGGGCCGAAACAAACAGAATCGAATTTGCATGGTTAAATTATAGTTTATAATTTTTGCAATAAATTTAATTGTTTTTGTTATTTAAACTAAAAGATATATAAAACAATTCATATTTACTTTTATACATTCTTGTCTTTTCGAAGAGTTTGGTATAAGGTGAGTTAAAACCACTTTTTTTACGATTGGGGAACTTCCCACGATCGACAAAAGACCATGTCGAATCTATAGACGGTTTGATTATTGACACACTAAGGTTGTGTAAGGTGAAAACCTCGCGGATAGCTCTAAGTTGTCGAAACATTGACTATTTCGGAACGAATCTCAAACCGTTTAATATTTATGAAGATCGATTTTTTATGATCAATCCACAAGATCATAAGAATAAAGTATCGTCAATATAGTTTTATTTTGTTATACATTATTTTACATTGATTTCGTTAACATATGTTGTATCGCGTGAGAAACATTTTTATGTATATTAATTTAAGAGCAAGATACAATTGCTTAGAAATGATTAAATTTAATGCAAAAGTTTCATGTGTAGCTATAACTTTAAGACACAAGAAAATTTATCGTTGTAAATCATGCGATAATGTTAACATTTTTTTATTTAAAATTAAAAAAGATATATAAATTAAATAAAAATAAATAAATTAAATAACATAAAATTTTATTAAAAAAAAAAGTATATTGATTAAATGATCGCGTCAAATAAAAATCATTGAAGATCGTGCGATAATGTCAAAATTTTTTTTATTTAAAATTAAAAAAAAATATATAAATTAATATTAAATTTAAATTTTATTGAAAAAAAGGACATATTGATTAAATGATCTCACGCATCAAATAAAGCTGTGCACGCCACACCTGCCGATGAGGCATTAACGATCCTCCTACTGAGCATCCGAACAAATGGAGAAATTGCTCGTTGCGCAAGCGATAGAAATTGTTCACACGCGTGAGATGAGGCTCTCCAGCGACCGGACAGCGGCAGCATGCGTCCGTCATTACATAATGCGATGCACCCTCGCGTAGCTAGAGGACCTGCGGCGCACGCGACCCCGTGAATGCACGCGTTACCCATGGGAACCAGTAATGAGATGGTGGTCACGGTTTCCCACCCTGCGAAGGTGGTCGCGGAGGGATAGGCATGCTGGTGGGTGCGCTCTCTTCCCCGTGGGGATGATACGGGTCCATCGTACCCCCCCATGGCTTTTGTCAACACCGGCAATATGCTACCGCTCGATGAACCGACGCTGATGAGAGAGTGGACCTGTGGGAACTGAAATGCTGCGATGTTAAACGTGAACGAGAATGCTTGACGTTTGCGTCTCTCTCCGCAACAATATTTTTTGCGCCGATCAATTCTTTATGTTTCGTGAGTATTATTTCGGTGGGATCAGCGTTGTAGCTAGCTGAAAGCTAGTAAACTACTTAAAATGTATTATTTACATTAGGGGATATCGCAACGATTTTCTTAAAATGTAATTGTAATAGTTATAATATTAAAATTCTGCGGGATATTATAGGGCGGGAAACGTGAACAAAGATACATGATACATGATAATTTTGACACTTACTTGTAATTTATATCTGCAATGATAATTTTTAATGTAATTTTTAAACGGCGCAATCGTCGAAGCTGCGTGTAACAGCGATTAAATGAACAACCGAAGAACAATTCTCGTAAAGTCGATAACGACTCGAGCTTTGGATAATGCAACGTGAATGAAAGTTGCTCCACCTGCGCTCCGTACCGAGTAACGAGCATCGATAAGCGATTGCCGATCAGTCCGAATCGCCCCCGGCACCGGCGATTATCGTACTTCTTTGTCGTGGCATAAATCACTGTTCTCCTTACATCTCGTCATGCACGGGCCCGTGTTCTTCACGGCTGGGATCGCCCTACGGCGACGACGTTGCACGAAAACGAGAGACCGTGATATCGCGGGGAAACGCGCCATTAAACATGATTCCTCTTACGCCTCCCTTCGCGTTTCGCTCTCACTCCCACCTTGACTTCTCGTCTCCGGTATTTCATCGTTACTTATCTTATCCCTTGCTTGCACTCGCTTATCTAATCTCTCCGCGCGCTTATCAAACTGAATCTTAAAGTCACAATCTTGAGAAATGATCTGAAAAATATTGCATTTGCATATCGCAAATAAGTGGAGAAAAAAATCCACGTCCGACATACAGTGGACAGGCGAAAGCGTTGGAAAAAGAATAAAAAGAATAAAAAAACTGTAACATGCATGTAAGCGAAACGAGATTTATTTCATGTTGAAGTAATTGTGCAATGTAGTACTCTCAGCTTGAAGAAAACAAAGGGCGTTGAATGATCGAAACGCCGCACTCTGCGTTTATTGTGTGTACCTCTCGAAAAGCAATTTTGCCCGGATAGAATTCAACATAGCATAAATTAATTCAGCTCGTTAGCGGACAGTAACATGTATGCAGGCGTTCCCACTGGTGGAACAGGCCCGTAAGGCACCGCGAGGTATGGGTCTCTCGTACGCACGTCGTTACGAGTATCGTGTAGCACGGCGCTACGCACTAACTGGGTCATATCGGATTAATTAGCCGCGTACAACGCGCGGTTACAACCGATCGCACGACGATCGGTTAATGGCCTTAATCGACAATCCCGTCGGAAATATCGTCGGCCGATGCCACGATCAACGCGTATCTCCGACGGTAATGAAGCCGTTGCGAGAAAGAATTGTCACCCGTAAATGTTAATTAGCTCGTAACTACATCGAAACCGCGGAGGAACGGACACGTCGCCGAAGATAATTTCCGAGGAAGAAATTTATACTCGAATTCTCTTAGTTTCTAATTACCGATGTTTTAAGACTTTTTTTCCTTCATATAAATTGATAACGCGTGTTCTTATTCTAGATTACTTTTATTGAATTGTTTTTATCGAATTACGTCGGAATGTGTGACAATAAGTATAAATTATTTCTTTATGCTAGGTTGTTCAATTAATTAGCTCACTAATACTGATGTCTAAAGTTTTTTTTCTTCGTATAAATTGTGGTATTTTCTTTATTCTAGATTATTTTTATTTATTTCTTATTGAATTACATTAGAACGTGTGACAATATAAATGGTGGATTATTTTCTTACGTAAGCTCTATTATCGAATTAATTAGCTCACTAATGCTGATTACGAGCGATCGTATAATGAGCAATTAATGCGATACGCATCGAGCGGTTATAGTCGCGGAGATCGCAGCTCATTAAACGGCGTGTAAACGTTGATGTTGTGGGACACGCGTGTGCTACAACTGTCAACCTCTATCGCTTGGAAGCTTTAATGAAGCTGTTAATTAATTAAAAATCGATGCCCTCTGGTCGGATTGGAGCCGCGTTATCGTGTCACATGCGACGATAAAATAACGACGCAAACATGAATTTTTCAGTTGTCGATGTGTAGTGCTAGAGTTTGTCATTTTTCGAATATTTGTGGAGAAAAAGGGGAGGGAAAAAAGGAAGAATGGACAGTTGTCGGCGGAATCAGGATCAGGATGTACTTCTACCGTGACCGATCGCGCGAAACGTTATATTGCGTCAGACGTTTATTCTCAAATAATTTATCGTCGCGATCCCGCAGATCTTTACTGCGCCGTAAATCAAATTAAGAAATTTACGGGAAAATTCGAAAGTCGCGATTTTTACGCGCGGTGAAATACTGTCACGCCGGCGCAGCCTGGTACCGAATTGATTTAAAGCGTTAAAAATGAGCGATGATGTTACGGGTGTGCGCTATCGTTCACGATATAATTCTGGAAAGGAAAATAATATGTCTGTATCGATGGCGATCTTGCATTCAAGTCTCTTCTCGCTTATCCTGTTTTTCCACCATTCCGTTCTCTCTGCGGCACCGTCGGCATTCGTTCAGAGGATTCTCAATATTTACGCTGAACGTCATATCTCTTCAAACTCAGGATACATGGATACATATATGCGGAAACACGCTCCGCCCATCGTATCGATAATAGTAAGTAAATTGTTTTATCATTTAAACAAAAGATTAAAAATGACGTTAACATATAGTCGTTAGTAAAATCTAATATCATTTTCATATTTTTGTACTATACAATTATATTGGTCTCTGCCGCACGTGCTATTATAAATTCTATTTCTAAATTATTTAAATTTTAAGATAGAACTGACGTTGTATACACATGTATAAAATTGGAGCACAGTAAGGCCGCAAAGTAGTCTTAGATTCCATGTAGAATTACATGAATTTATTCACGTAATTTTTGTGAATTTATCATGTAATTTCCATGTAGATTTATATTAACTTCTAACCGGCGTACTGCCAATAATCGAATTTATCATTTAGCTGTCAAATCTTGCGTGCACTATTACATATATAGTGTGTATGTATAATCGAAATAAAATAGCATTTTATTGTAAGTATAATTAGTGTAAAAAATTCGTTTAAAGGTAGAGATAGAAATAATGACCAAGACGGTTTTTTGTAATTTACATCATAATATCTCCGCTCGCAGAACACGCAGAAGAAAAAACAAAGTTTTCTGATATAGTTCGGACCCAAGCTGTTAATTAAGATCTTTAAGAATTCAATCCAACCATTTTTCAGACTCGATAATTTCAGGCTTGCAACTGGGTGGACTCGCGTGGATACACACAGGCCATCGCTCGTGAGTTGCCGGTTTGGTTGCGCGAGACATTACCGTGTCTCTTGATAGAGTCGTACGCCATTACGATTTACACTACGAATATATCATTTATCAGATACGAGTTCATTTCGAAACCCAGTTCGCAAAGCGCTCTGGAAACTTTTCTCGAGATCTCGCCGCTCGCTTCATCCAGATAAGGCATTCGAAGTACTGGTTCTACCGGAGTGGAGTATCTTTCCGCCCGCAAACGAGCGAACGTAGAACGGAGAACCTGCGGCTAACGAGAACGTCCCTCTAATCCTGGGGCTAAGAGCCGAGAGATAGACGATCGCTAGCGAGACTCCTGTCCGTCCCACGGCGTGCTGATTTGCAGACAATAGTTTCTCAAAAGGGTACGGCGGGTACTCGTTCGTTCGTTCGTTCGTTCGCTCGCTCGCTCGCTCGCTCGCTCGCTCGCGCCGACAATGGACACGTGACGCTCGCGTGCTGCGGATGACAGTTGACTTTGCGTGACACGTGACGGGACAAACGAGGATGGCGAGCGCGAGTCGGCCTGCAGCGGAAGTGATGCACTTGGACGCAATTCATGCCAGAAGACGTGCCACGGACAACGCGATGACACGGTATAGATGAAACTCCCGCAGGGATGATCGGATTCGCACAGTCATTTAAGTCTGACGAAACCACAATCCCGAGCTCGATATGCTGCGAAAAACTAGATACATATTTTTGCGAATAATAATAATTTTTATGGATAATTTTATCTGATGGAAATTTTCAAGAAGGGAGAATACGAAGACATTATTTCATTTTATGCATAATTTCTTATGTAACTATTTAATTGATATTTTTGTTAAAGTAGCATTTTATTCGAATTAAACACGAAGGACTTAGATGTAATACGTATTAAAATACAAAATGATATAAAAACTTTTTTAATCGATAGAAAGATTGACAAAAGTGAGATCGATGATGTGAAACATTAACATGGCAGCTTACAGTTGTTACCATACATTGTGTACACAAATGGCATTGAAGTCCGCGATTCATTCAGCGTATGTAAAAGGGGACGAGTGAATGCATATGTTCAGGATCCATGTTTACAAGGGAGATGTAGTTTTACTTGTGGAAAAAAAGTTAGTTTCAAGATTCATATATAATCAAAAAAGGTATCTCTGATTTTAGAATGATCGCGACTCAATCAAAATTTTCACAATTTCTGTGAATTACCAATCCACGTGGAAATTAGTAAAACTAAAATTTTGGATTCTGTGTTACAACAGAAGTCTACATGACAATATTATAAAATAAAGTGTGCCATTATAAAAATAATTGTGAATGTTTTATATATATCTTATTAGAGAAAATAGAAAGGAACATTTTTTTTATCTATTTACGTTCCAGTTAGTGACTTCCCAAAAATTATTAGTTTCGCAAATCCGTGTTTATTCTTGTTCGCGAACATCGATCCAAATCCTGACACCCACGTTTTGTTTGCTAGCATCCGCAAGTAAACTTCCACGAGGCGGGGGAAAAATGGCGGGTAGAAAGAAATCAGGCAGACGGAGTGGCTCCTCGTAGTTGCGAAGACAGACGCATAACACGATGGTACCGGTGATGAACCGCACCCACGTCTCACCGACACTGCCCACTCTTGCCCACGTCTGCCCCGGCACACTTTATGCTACCCACTTAGCCGAGTAATTTGTTTTTACAGTTTTCCCCTCAGCGTCCCGTCATGTTTAACTCCGCCGAAAGCGGCTATTTTTTTCAATTACGAAAGCAACGGTCATCCTTGTTATGAGCGCACATCTCACTTTCATAAGGCACTACAAAATGTGTAGCTCCCCGCTTTAATGCTTTCATAATTACGTTTGTTTGATTGAATATACATTGCGCGTTTTTGCGTCGCGTTTCTCATTTGAAACAATTTGAGCAATAAAAATATGACAATGGCGACAATGGAGACCTTCGATCTCAATTTCTATATTAGATAAAATTGATTAAAGAAATGAATTAATTGAAAAAGCGATTGTTCTGCTGCAAAACTTATATTTTTGTTGTTTTACTTGATCACAAATTGTCGATAAAAGTAACAAATCAAGTTCTAATTGAATTCACAGAAGGACCGTTTGAATATTGAGTTACCACCGATAGCTACCGGCGGAGATGTTCAATGTCTAGCCGGTTATAAAATTACATAATCTCTCTGCACGCGCGGTTCCAGTAAATTTATTAATGACACAGAGACTGGAATTTTTTTTTTTCAATGGCGTAGTTGTAATTCTCGCCGAGTATGTTGCCGCCGGAACCGTTGAATTATACGCCGTACCGTCCAGACGCACAAATCTCAAGCGCCACGGAAACCTCCTCTCTTCGCTCTCGTCGTACAGCTAATCTGAAGC